TGGACTCCTCCGGAGGCCAGGAGGCCAGGTCTACTCACCCCTTCCCTGCCTCCGGAGGAGGCCAGGTCTACCAATGCAGTGGGAAGCGGTGGGTAGACCTGGACTCCGGAGGCCAGGTCTAGCAATGTAGTGGGAAGGGGTGGGTAGAACTGGACTCTGGAGGGGGGGTGCGCTCCAGGGCAGGGGGAGGGGAAGATTGAGCCAGGGGGTGGAGGAGACGGGGAACTGGCGGGATAGGGGTGGAACTTGCCTCCTCCTCCTGCTTCCTCCTCTTCCTGATAGGCGTGGAGGTCCCCCTCTCCCGCGAGTATCGCGGGTCCCCCCCTTGTACTATGTCTATTGTCCACTGAATGTGCCCTAACCTGGATGACCCGTTCTCAGGCCTTGGAAGCTAAGCAGGGTCGGTCCTGGTTAGTATTTGGATGGGAACCCACCAAAGAAGTCCAGGGTCACTATGCAGAGGCAGGCAATGGTCAACCGCCTCTGAACATCTCTTACCTTGAGATCTCTACAGCTGCCACCGCTGTGTTAATGGACATAGCAGAAGCCCAAGAAGAAATCAAACAAACAGGAATTCCCCCAAACTTAATAAGTTATTTGTAGGCAAGTTTTATTTATGCATAATCAAACACTAAACCATTGTAATTTCTTTCGTAAACATAAATCAGACATCTCGATATTTTTATTTCCGCCTTTGTCTTTGGTCATTGCACATTGCAGATCGGTAACACATTGCAGATCGGTAACATTTCGGATCCACCGCCTTCCAACCTATAGTTTTGAATCTTCTCTGGGGGGGGTCTCATTTTTTCTATTAACATTAACGTTTACAGTTTGATATGCTTGACTTTATAATCTATACGTAGTATTTATCTATAAACAAGTATTTTCATAAAAGCCCCTCAGTTTCATATCATCCCTCTTAATATGAACATGGCAAAATAGCCCTTCCTTCGCTTCCAGTAGTGTAGCCTGCATCACTAAGAAGGTACATTCTACTGACCACCCTGAGATCAGATGCTAACTGTAATATCCCGTGTTATTTAAAGTTGAAGAGATTTCTGTAGAACGTACTTTATTTTCCCTTAATATCTTTAGATAACTCTTTGGCAAGGGAAGTATCTAAATAAATGGCATTCAAGCTTCAGATTGGTTTCTTTAAAATACTTCTATCCCACCTCACCTCCTTGGACTCGAGGTGGTTTGGTTTGTTCCAATTGTACAGGGAATGGCCTAATTTGGAAATGTAGAAGGAAACAGTCTGTTTGCACAGATAACCCTAAGTAAGTTGAATTTTTAATGCCAATTCTTTTAAACAATATTGGTGAAATTCCACACGAAATCAGTTCAAGTCCAGATAACTTTTCTTTGAAATCTTGGCAGCAGCATTCTTTAAAAATGCATCCCTTGACATTCCTATGCGCACACGCGTACAGACGATTACACGCGAATACATCTAGACATTCTGCACAACAAAGATCATGTATAAAAAGAAGACAGAAATACACACTTGATGAAATTACTGACGATTTCCCATAGAACAATTCTCCCTTTCTACAAAACTGGAGTGAAGTTTTTGGGTACTCGTTTGAACAACTATCAGGAGCTACGTGTCGAAGGTGTTTTCAGCAAGCTCTGGGAGTGTGGCTGCCATCTCAAAACTACATCTCACAGTCTTTTAGAAAGGGAGACCAGACAATGGCAAGTTGGTGTAAAAGTCCGAAACACAAAATTTTATCAAACACAGTTAAGACTTCTTTTTTTTTAACAACGCAGACATTTGGTTGAACATTACGCGCACATTAAGGCCTCTAACACTAAGTAAGCAGCATCGTTTTTCTTCACAGCAGAAATATACTTATCACTTCTCGATAACAGCACAAGTTCTGTTAGAGTACAGTTGTCCACACCTTCAGTGAGAAGAGCGCAACCAGAACGAAGTAAATTATACATAAGGACAACAAGACGTGCTTGTATCTCAGCAAAAGCCCTCTTTAGGGCTGCCAGACTTAACGCCCTAAGTCATTAATGTTTTGAAATCACATTTTTTTAAAAACCCTCACTGGGCATATTCAGACTTCTCGTTATGGCTTGCTACAATGGATTCAGCACTTTACAATGGGTAGTGATGCAGTTACTAGACTTCCTAAGAACAAATTTGGATATATCACAGTATTTTCTGTTCCTGGAACACGACTGATGGAAATGTTCATTGTACAGACAAAGGCTTCCTTTATCTAAACTGTAAGGATCGAAAACATCTCTGTTCACGCGGACAGAGAACTAACCGTGCTGGTTGTGGCGACAGTCTTTTTTGTACGGCAGTCGCTCCGCGCACAAAATAAAAATAATGTGATCACTACCCATTTAAAAAAACCTGCAGTCGGGAACCAGATAAATTATAAATCGTGTCTTTTTTTAAAAAAATCAATGTCTTCTTCACCAAAAACATTTAATTGGTAATTCAGAAAAATGACTTCATGGCATCGATGTCCTAACGTAAGAGCAACCAACACTCTGGGGAGCAGGTCAGAGTATGTGGCTGGTGTGCTTCTAAAAGTAGCCACAAAATTTATTTCTGTCTGCCAGAAGATCCACACAGTTAACCATTGGTGCTTATATTACTAGATTTATGCATGAACAGCGGTTCTCAAATAGTACTTGGGGGGGGCCCTGTAGAATGGGTGGCAAAAGGGGAGCTCTTCGCCCCTGTGGCACTGCTGCAGCAGAGAATTTTACCAACCGGGAGACGTTGGTTTAATCAAGAACAGGATCTGCAGCACGGCCAGATGGAAGCAAGGTGAGAGGATCGGGAGGAGGCCAACTCGAGAACCTGCAAGTCTCGCCTTGATCTTCCGGGAGAGGGGAGAGGTGGCTGGCTGCTTTGGAGCCAGCCAAAGGAGGCGGAGCTTCTTTCAGAGCAAAGCCGGAATCCTCACGGGGCGTGGGGTTCCTTTGCAGAGAACAGTGGCCGTAACAGCTGCAAACTGACCTTGGTAATAAAGGGACAGAAGTCGGTGCCAGAATACGAAGATGGCTTCGTTTATAGTTCGTACCGCGGTATATAATTTCTTCCACATGCAGCATGACCCTTCCTTCTCCTCTGCCTTATCTGCATGGCAAGTTCATTTTGACCGGGGGGGGGGCACGCAAATATTCATCAAGGTGTCTCATCTAAACAGGGATGACAATTTCCACAAGCATGTGCAAAGTGTTGTTCTTTCCCTCTTCTCCCTGAGCCACATCCTGGCTCCCAGGATATTGTCTGAAGGCACACGATGCGGCTGTTTGGCTGAAGATCGGTAGGTCTCTGTGTGGCCGGGGCCTAGAAAGGAAGTTAACTGGGACTCTGCGGTAGAGGTTCTTGCGTTCCATGTTGAGAAATAAAGCAGGATGTAAATGTAATAAATCATTTCGGCACATCATGGATGGGTGATACAGCAGAGCAGTACGTTGAAATGTAGGTCATGGAGCTGCTACTTTTAAAGTAATCTTTTAAGGAAGCCCCTTTGCCTACCACTGGCCACCGCCCTCCAACAGTCGACAGCAGAGGCAGTCAGGGAATGGCCAGATCAGCAGCTGAGGCCTCCAATGGGGCATCTTCGTCTTTCAGATCAAAACAGTGCTGAAAGCTTGAGAACCGCTGGCATGGAACATAAAAAGCACAATGGCGACTGTGTCGATGTTCCCCCTGTGCTCAGAATCCTGCTCACCGAGTGGCGGAAAGGATGCGAGCTTAAAAACAGATGCACGCTTTTGGGAACGCTCAGCGTCATTTCGCATTTCTCATCGAAACCCAACGAGAAAGCCACCCTCGGACGAAACCAAATTCTAACGAAAAATCATTTAAAAAGTGATCTACTGTGAAAACAGGGCACGTAGGAGTGTGGTACGGAGCCTAGACGGGTTTAAAGTGAGGTGAATGGTGTATGTTAGTTCCTTGACGAGGATAGTAGTGATGGCCATTTATGCTCCGCTTTCTACCTGCAAAGTATCGGAAACTATCCCTGTTATTTGTGAAGTTTCACAATTTCAACTTGGCCTCCCCGAATGGACTGTTTTGGTAACCGTATCCGTGGCTGGCCCTGACCTGGATGGCCCAGGCTAACCTGATCTCGTCAGATCTAGGGAGCTAAGCAGGATCGGTCCTGGTTAGTCCTCGAATGGGAGACCACCAAGGAAGTCCAGGGTCATGACCCGGAAGCAGACAATGGCAAACCACCTCTGAACGTCTCTTGCGTTGAACACCGTACAGGGTCACCAGAATTCAGCTGCAACGTGATGGCACTTTACACACACATATCTATGGCTGACACAATAAATCCACTTTAGATACTAAACTAGTTTATATCAACATAATGAACGAAATACGTTACTGGCTATCTGAAAATTAATGGTTACATTCATATTTCATTTAGCCTAGATTGCAAATTATCCATGACTTTCAAGTGAGGTATAATTCATAAATGTTACACTTTTCCACCCAGAGAATCACACCTGGCCGGAGATTCACATAAGCGTTCATGGGAATAAATCTTTTGCTATTACATGCCCCATGATGAGCATAAATATTCTGTACAATATCAGCTCCTGGTTTGGAAACACATAGATATACTTGTAAGTATGAACGTGGCCAAATGGATTGTGTGAGAAGATCCACACACATTTTCCTGTTTGCTGTGTTAAAGTTGATGAATATTTCAAAGCAGAATATTTAGTACTATTTACTTCATGTACAGAACACTCAGCCCAAATGCCCACGTCAGTGCATAGTCTTAACATTCTTCACTGTAGTCTACAGTTAATTTTAAGGGGATTGTAAATTTATGGTTCCTCAGGTATATAACCCAGAGTTTGAAGTATCAAACAGGACAGAAATTTCCTAATTTCTGATCACTATCTAGCATTTGGCATTTCGATGCTAAATGAAGAACGTACAATCATAAAGCATCCACAGCTCTTCAGCTAGTAATATCTGTATTAATATACTATGTATATATTTATATCTATACCTCCCTTCTGAGATTACAAAAATAAACTTTGGGATCTTATATTCGGGTGGCCAGCCTCCAAAAAGGTTGCCTGGTTTTCTGCCTGGCGTTTTAGCAATTAGTTTGTTTGGGGGTTTAACTGGAAAAACCGAGATGCCCCAAAGAGCAAGATTTTAGGGATTCATTCTGTGCACAGGAAGATTCCGTTCCGGAACTATTCCTCTTTCACGGTCTGCCCTGAGTCCAACTAGATCTGTCTAAAGGCGCTGGCATGTTTCCAACGGATTGGCCTGCATGTCAGACACATGCTACCAGATGTGGTCCGCATAGTTTATAAAGTGCTGTTTTAATTACTTATGGATGAATATGACAACCAGTGCAGTTTCCCCTTCTGCCCGAGTCAAACGTGGGACTCATCCAGGCCAGTGTCAGTCTGCCCCACCTCGACATGTGTGAAGGTGAACTGGGGGTTTTCCATCCCATTATCCTCACTAATGTGGAGGACAGTGTCTCCATGCTCCAATAAGCTCGTGGTCTCCAGGCCTGTAAAATCCTCCGTGTCTGACATCTGCGAGGGTGGGGGGCTCCCGGGGGCTTGAGCCAACCTTGCCTCTGGATTGTCCTCCTTTTTTTTATCCTTCTCAACAGAAAGCATCTCACTCTGGAAGGAAGAGAGTTTATAGTCAGGCAGGAGCTCTTGGTAAGGATCAGAAGAGTTAACTTATAACAGTTTCCCTTTTTGATTCCTTTTATCTTTTTCTTGGCTGAGCAGCCCCTTTTCTTTCTTCTTTATTCGTCTCTCCCTCCCACCCAGTTGTTTAAATGTATATACTGATCCAGCTGAGGGAATTGAGGAACCGAGTAAAATCCTTCTTTTGTCGTTGTCTGATTATGGCACACAAGAGGCTGATGGTAATTCACAACTAACAAACTGCTTTGTTTCATGTTTGACGGGAAATGGTCAGGTATGTAACAGGTTTAGGACTTAGAAGGTAAACAGGTAACAGGAATGAGGTAAATTTGTATAAATATAAACAATAAATAGTTTTTCACAATCAAGTAGCTGTTTTGTTATACAGGCAGGTCTTTAAAACTGGTGAGAGAGATTTCTTGTTGGTGTCTGCTTAAATAAACAAGCATAGGCTTCTTTGTCTCAAAGGCACTTAAGTCGGTGAAGGCAGGAACATTCACACAAGTTCCAATATCCTTTCTTAACTACTTGCTAGGGATCACCCCCACCCCCCGTCTTTTAAAACTAGGATATTGATGTACAGAAAATAATCCTGTCTGAGTATGTGTTTCCCCAGCCCAATTTGAGAAAACACTCAGACAGGATTATTTTCTGTACATCAATATCCTAGTTTTAAAATTTCTGTAGAGCTTGTTTTGAACTTCCATGGCAAGGGCACCATTGTCCTTTTAGGTGTGAACAGGCATAGTGCTGTGGTCTCACCCAAATGGACCAAAGCAATACAAGAAAAAAGAAAACAGCCGGGGATACTAATACTGACAAGAATGGAAGAACTGTCTTCCTTATTGCCAGACTTTTGAGGCACTGGCCGTAGTAGGATTATCCTGAGCTGGATTCCTTTTGTACATCAGGCCAAATAGCACCCCCCCCCCAAATGTTTCAAGCAGGGGGAAAGGACCTGGGGAGACGGCTGAAGTAGCTTCTCCATATGCACCGTGGTCCTGATCTGCATCACATCCGCCACATCCGACACATGGTAGGGACCCCATGTGTCACCTGCATACACCATAGTGTGAGAATCAGTCCTTGGACAGAAGGAGACAATACTTACGCCTCCTCCAATTCAGCCTGACCTGTATCACCCATAGCAGAGCCCCGCCAATCGCAAAGAGGGCCGCAGAAGGCTCTCAGTGTGCTCATCAGAAGAGTGGGGGGGGGCCAGTTTGGTGTAGTGGTTAAGAGCAGCGGACTCTAATCTGGGAGAACCGGGTTTGATTCCCCCACTTCTCCACATGCAGCCAGCTGGTGTGACCTTGGGCCAGTCACAGTTCTCTTAGAGCTGTTTCCTCAAGAGCAGTTCTCGAAAGAGCTCTCTCAGCCTCACCTGCCTCACGGGGTGTCTGTTGTGGGGAGGGGGAGGGGAAGGGGAAGGAGACTGTCAGCCGCCCCGAGTCTCTGAGTGAAGGGTGGAGTTGAAATCCAAGTCTTCTTGGAGAGGATGAGTGAGGAGAGAAGTGGGTGGATGAACTCTTTATCTACTCTTGTGTTGGTTTGGCAAGTTCCAGACTATAGTTCTTGATAAGCCTCCTCTTCATACACTTCCCAAAACCAGGGCTCAGGAAGACACACTGCCTGTAACCAGAGGGGGCAAGTCTGCTGCTCTGCTGAGGAGGAGTGGGGGGAGGAGGAGGACGACGACATTGGATTTATACCCCGCCCTTCACTACCCAAAGGTGTCCCAGAGCGGCTTAAAAACTCCTTTCCCTTCCCCTCTTCACAGCAGACACCCTGTGAGGTAGGCGGGGCTGAGAGAGCTTCAGTATGTATAATAGCAGCCTGAAGGAGAGCAGTGTTTCATGTTTCTTTGTCTAAGTTGTGTTCAGCTTGTATGTTAGTCCAGCCAACTGTAGCAGATGATGGAGTGTGGTTTCATTTGTGGACGTGAGGAAGAAGAGGAGGAGGAGGAGGAGGAGGAGATTGGATTTAAACCCTGCCCTTCACTACCTGAAGGTGTCTCAGAGCGGCTTACAAACTCCTTTCCCTTCCCCTCCCCACAACAGACACCCTGTGAGGTAGGCGGGGTTGAGAGAGCTCTGACAGAAACTGCTCTTTTTCAAGGACAGCTCTTATGAGAACTATGGCTTGCCCAGGGTCACCCAGCAGGTGCGAGTGGAGGAGTGGGGAATCAAACCCGGTTCTCCCAGATTAGAATCCGTGCACTTAACCACGACACCAAACTGGCTTTCAACACTAAGCAGCATCTGTATGTTCCCACCTGACAGTTCTCAGCTGAGAGCAGAACGGGGGGAGGATTATTTGGAAATAAAGTCCACACGAGGCCTGGTGCTTTAGGAGAGTAATGGATGTCCCTTTTGTTAAGGAACTCCAGGCTACAATGGGAAAGAAAGAACAGACATTCTACCTAGCTAGCCTAAGCTAGGCGGGGCGAATTGGCCATTTAATTTACAGGGAAATTTCCAGGTGGTCTACTGCCTTAGAGGGCCACTGGTGGCCCCGGAGCAAGCAGAGCGAAGCTCTAGCACAAGGGTGGCCAAACTTGCTTAATGTAAGAGCCACACAGAATAAATGTCAGATGTCGAGAGCCGCAAGGCATGGACAAATATTATGCACATGTTTTTATTGAAAAATATGCAGATTTGCCAGAAATAAAAACAAAAGGGGTAAAACAGATTTTGATAATGATATTTAATTTGTTTGCTAATGATATTTATCTGTCTGAGAAAAAGAGAGAGAGGTGGAAGGAAAGAAAGCAGATAGATGGGGAGGAGGGAGGGAGAGGTGGAAAGAAAGCCAACTTTAACTTTAAATGTGTCCTCCAAGCCCCCCACCCCAGCTGGCTTGGCTTGGAGAAGGGATTTAAAGAGACAAATTTAAAGTTAGAGTCGCTCCCTGTCTCTGCTCTCCCCCACCTCAAGCCTACCCAGGGAGAGGAACATTCATGCCTCCCCTTCGCTTCCCCAGCCACCCTGCCGGGAGCCGCACGATATGTGTGAAAGAGCCGCATGTGGCTTCCGGGCCACAGTTTGGCCACCCCTGCACCTAGCAACTCTGCCAGAGCCTCGGGGCTCACTTGGCCAAGCCCCTCTATCAGCAGTGGTAGTCTGGGTTAGTTCACCAACTGTCTTTTCCCACTCTGCTGCCGGTTTTCAGGGAGAAGCGCCTGACTCCCAGAATCCCTCAACAACCACCCCTTCCCTGGCCCCTCAGCAGAATTTTCACAGGGAAAGTGGAGAGGGGACGTGTTTCCCCATCTGCCACGGTCATCAGGAGATAGGGGCACTTTTATTTATTTTATTTATGCTTGCTCCGGGGCCACCAGTGGCCCTCTAAAGCAGTAGCCCACCTGGAAATTTCCCTGTAAATTAAATGGCCAATTCGCCCCGCCTAGCTTAGGCTAGCTAGGTAGAATGTCTGTTCTTTCTTTCCCATTGTAGCCTGGAGTTCCTTAACAAAAGGGACATCCATTTCTCTCCTAAAGCGCAAGGCATTCTGGATCTCAATCTGCGTTTTTTCCTCTAATCGTCATCCCTCACGCCGATGGACCTGGCGATATGTCTGGGCTAGACCTAGGATCCAAGCATTCACTAGGATCATTGATGGTAACAGTAGTGGCGGCTCCTATTGGAAGGCCTGGCGGAAGAGCTTCGTCTTACAGGCCCTGCGGAACTCCATGGCTAACATCTGTTTGAGGGTGAGGGTTCCCCCCCTTTTCTTTTTGAAATATATTTATTTATTTTATTATTGTATTTCTACCCCGCCCTCCCCGCGAACGGGCTCAGGGGTGGCTGATATATATCTGTGTCCACCAGCACTGCGGCCCGTACGCACAATCTCTTTTGACTGAATATGTATCAAGACTCAATGAGGACATTAAACGGTGATCATCCAGCACAGAGTAATATAGCTTACGGGAGGGCCGCTGGTAAGTGCAGCACAAATGCTTGTGGTCGTGTTCCGTGGTCCAGAGCGGGCCCACTTTCCACCTCCCCCCCCCACCCAAAGATACCTGGCTGGTGGTGGCTTGGCTGTGGAGGTCAGCCACAATAATGGCCGGGGAGGAGGTCAGGACAGGCTTGCTGGTTGCCTCCTGCTTCTCGCCACCCGCAGGGCTGCCCCTTTTGCCGCTCTGCTGCTGGGCTGCTGTCGGGGCTGGGTCAGGGGTCAAGCTGGAGGCCTCTGACTGTGCTTCAGTAAAAGTCACAGATCGCTTCTGGTCCACTGCAGGGTTAGACACAAACAACAGTGGGAGCACATTGGAAAATAAATCTGAACATTTCTCACCATTGGACTGTTGGCCACTGTGTATGCAACAGGCGTCTTTTTTTTGGGGGGGGGGTAGGAGTGTTTTACTTTCATTCTGAAACCAGCTCGCGACATTCGGTTTTTCCATATTCTCATTTTCCCTGCTTGTAAGATCCCGTTTCTTTGGTTTCCCCCCTATTGTGCATGTCTTTTGCTCCCCCTAGTGGTCAATTTGATATTACATCAGTTTATGTTTGGCATATCTCCCTACAAACTGTAGGTTTTGGGTTTAGAAAGAGAAGCCTGGCTGGACAGGAGACTGGGACGGCTAAGTGACTTTCTCACTCCAGTGTAGCTGAAACCAAGGTCTGCGAGTCCCCTTCCTCCCCAGTCCCACCTGAAATGTGACAGCGAGGGGAAGGATCATGCATCGAGTCACTAACTGCATAGTGAGGTGGTATGCTTGGCTCAGGGATGATATTGAAGAAGAAGAAGAGAAGAGATTGGATTTATACCCTGCCCTTCACTACCCAAAGGTGTCTCAGAGCGGCTCACAAACTCCTTTCCCTTCCCCTCCCCACAACAGACACCCTGTGAGGTGGGTGGGGCTGAGAGAGCTCTGACAGAAACTGCTCTTTTTTCAAGAACAGCTCTGCCAGAATTATGGCTTGCCCGAGGTTGTCCAGCCAGGTGCAAGCGGAGGAGTGGGGAATCAAACCCGGTTCTCCCAGATTAGAGTCCGCCCACTTAACCACTACACCAAACTGGCTCCTGATATTAATGACATCAGCAGACATTGCACCCATCCCCACCCTCATCTCAGGCCAATCTGCATACTCGGCGACTCACAGCTTGCTGTGTCATGCTTGGAAGCGAAGACTCAAGAACAACTCTGGGCGTGCAAAGGTGACCAACAACCAGCACAACTGAGAACGGAGAAGCGAATGAGTGCGCGACAATGCAGCACGGGGGAACATGTGACAACAGATTGCCCAAGGCAAAGGTGACCAACAACCAGCACAACTGTGGAGAAGTGAATGAGTGCGCGACAATGCAGCACGGGGAACAAGCGACAACAGATTGCCCACGGTTTAGAGAAATTAGAGCCTCCCTCACACTGCCATGCCCCCCAAGGATACTCTTTGATTCAATACGATCTAAGAGAGGTGTAGAGGAAGGCAGCTGGGGTAAAGGTGCCAGTTAACCACTGGACTGTGACACAGAGGATCTATCGAGGGTGGTACTGCGTGACACAGAGTGTTGGACTGGATGGGCCTCGGGCCGGATCCAAAATGGCTCCTCTTATGTTCTTAGATGGCGATCTCGTTAGCAGTTACAGAACACAGAAAAGTCTGGTGTCCCACAATCTCTGAAGCACATTGGTGATTCATTAATTATGGTTTGTTAAATTTAGTATCCACACACACATATAAACATGAGGGGGCGGGGACCAGAAATGCAGTAATTTGAAGAAAAAAAGAAGACACTAGCCTTGGAGAAATGTCGCCTCACCGGTAGGTTTTGTTTTCGGCTGTATACTTCTGCGTGTGGTGGAGAGTCGGGCTCCGTGACGGCTGCGCGGTTCAGTTTGGGTTTTCTGACGTGACAGAAGGGGCCTCCTCAACTAGAAAATGTGGAAACAGCAGTTAGATGGACATGGTTGTTCTCGCCTGTTTTATGTACGTTCCCAGCCCTCAGAGATTTTAGTGGAGGAACACTTTGCTTCCATCAGCCAGAGCTTCTGGCTTGGTGCCGTAAGACACTTGAACAAAATGGCGCTCTAGACATACTGAATTATAACCTTGTGTCTTCAGGGTAAGGAAGCTGCTACTGGGGAAACATATGTGTTCTGCATCAGTACACACAATTTCCCCCAACAGGGCAAGAAAGTTCAAGCCTGCTCTCCTCATGCGCCATTGTCCCAATCCAAATCAGGCCTTGATGCACCAGAGAATTGTTTCAAAAATCGCTGAGAGTTTCAAATATGGGATCTCCTAGCCAGAGGTCGATTCGGGGGGGATCGCGGGGGATCGCAGTTCCCCCGGGTGAGGTGCGGGGGGCGGGGCACACGACGAAGCCCCACCCCCTGCTTCCGGCCGCCCCGCTTCCGGCCCTCATTCAGCCAGGAGGAGGCAGGAAAAGAGGGAGGGTAAGTTGCCTCCTCCCCGCCTCTCCCCACCCCTGCCTGCCTGGTGCCAGGGAGGGTCTTGGCGGGGCTTCCTCGCACTCCCGCCGGCCTTGCAGGTCCACTGCCGGGCCTTATGATGTCAGGGGGTGTGGCATATGCTAATGAGTTATGCTAATGAGTTCCCCTAGCTCTTTTCCTACGAAACGACCCCTGCTCCTAGCACTCATCTGGTTTGACAGAACTCCCGGAAAGACCCAGAAGCAGTGTAATATAGAATTAGGCCCTGTCTGCAGCCTGAAGCAGTGGTTATTGAGAGAAACATGGTGCACAGAAATTGATCTGTGCAGTTTTCTTCATTAGAAGAAGGTTAACAGCATTCCGTTGACCTCAGCGTTTAGTCATGCTGGCCACATGACCACGGAAACGTCTTCGGACAGCGCTGGCTCTTCGGCTTGGAAATGGAGATGAGCACTGCATCCCTAGAGTCGGATTCGACTGGCTTTTGAGCAAGGGAAACCTTTACCTTTACTAGTACTTTATTAGCTGGATACTGTTCTGGTCACTTCTGCAATCTGCTGACGAAGTCTCTCCCTCTCTCTGCCCTGGTCAAACCCTGAAACCCATACCGCGAGGCACACGAATAATGAGGATTATGAACTTCCACAAAAAGTACTGATATTTTAAAAAGTTCTAATTATAATAACAAATAGAATCTTTTCAGCTAAGTAGTATTAGCTAATGTCCAAACACGCATCCCTAGGAGATATACAGAGAGGCGTCAGTGTTTCTCCACAGTGTCCCATACTGACATCTTACATTGTTCTGTATTCTGATCTGGCCTCGATCCGTGCCAAGATAAGAGACAGCGCTGTCTTCTTCCATCCCAGCAGCCAATACTGGCCGATTCTGCATGTAGCATTCGCTCTGCTGTTTTACCAAGCCTATGTTGGAACGGAAATCCCCTTCTGCATTGCATGCCGCCTTCACCTTCTTTGATTGTCGGATTTTATTGAACCCTCCACACTGCATGCTGCTTTGACTTCCTTTGATCTCTTGGGTTTTATGGTGGCTGTCTGCATAGAACTTTTTGGCTGTTACCATCTACTTTAAGAAAGTGTGGGGAGAACCCGGCACGCGGATAAAGGGGAAGATGGCTCTGCCTCACTCTTCATCTCTTTTTCCAGTCGACATCTCTAGCACACTTCTGGGCAACATCCTGGGTTACTACAGCACCCCAAAAACTAGCTAAACATTTTTCTTGTACTATTTGGGTGTAGTTTATCACTCCCCCCCCCCAAAAAAAAAACCAGAACAAAACACCATTTTGTATTTTTTTCTGCAAACGGTATGCTTCCCCTGGTCCCATTATGTGGATTTTTTGATCTGCAGTGTGGGAGGGGAGTACACATGGATATTAGATATGTAGATTAAATTAACTAATTACATGCACTTCTAGGGATGGCAAAGGGCTCACTTGGGCCAGGCTGAAACAAATTAATTTTTATACAACACACATGCAAACTGGGCACTTCAGACCTAGTTGCTACGTGTTCAGAAAAAACTGGTGGATCAATAGTTGCTGGTCGCCAGCTGATGAACAGAGCTCCTGTTTCAAATGGCATCTAACGTATTTTTTTATGACTGGTCCTTCCTGCTTTAACCACCTAATCAACTTCCACTAATTAATTAATTATTGTATGGCCGTGCATGTAGTATAACCAGGAGATCCTGTCTGGCCGTCAGAAGTTCTAGCTTTTCTAGCGTTATACACCACTAGGTGGCAAACTAGACCTGTTTTTAAGGCAAGAGACGTTTCAGAGGTGGTTTGCCATTGCCTGCCTCTGTGTCATGCCCCTCGTATACCTTTATGGTCAGGGTCCTATTTACCTGAGGGACTGCCTTTCCCCACATGTTCCCCAGAAAGCACTACGGTCAAGGTCTCAAAATTGTTTGGCTCTCCCTGGCCCCAAGAATGCCAGGCTGGCATTGACCAGGGCCAGGGCCTTCTCAGTGGCCACTCCGTTCTGGTGGAAAGAGCTCCCAGAAGAGTTCAGGACCCTGTGGGACCTTCTACAGTTCCGCAGGGCCTGTAAAATGGAGCTCTTCCACCAGGCCTTCAGGTAGGGAGCCACACCTAACAACCTAAGAACCTGTCCTACACCACATCCAGCCTGTGCTTGCTGATAGAAAAATCATCTGCTAACAGTAATTAACTATGCTTACTGCTACTATTGTACCGCCACCACCATACAAATTGCTTTTAGTAACTATGTCGTGTTTTACGTTGATATTTATATTGCTGTTTTTATCTGTAGTAATTTTATGTAAGCCGCCCTGAGCCTGCTTCGGCGGGGAGGGCGGGGTACAAATCAAATTAAATCAATCAATCAATAGAGGTCACTCATCAAAATACTAGCCAGGGCCGACCCTCCTTAGCTTCCGAGATCTGACGAGACTGGCCTAGCCTGGAAGGTAGGGAACGATTCTGTTATGTCCGCTGACCGCCACTAGGTGCCAGCGTTGTACTGCCGAGCTTAACTCCCGAAGAACAATAGGGACTAGGCTCCTGGATTTTCCTTGGGGAACCAATAGGGACTTTGGCAGGAGGTTTAAACCCACCAATAGGATCTAGGGATGTTCCTAGGTACTGTATATAGTTGGCCACTCGGCCGGTATTCTGTGTTCTACCGTGTTTCCCCGAAAATAAGACACTGTCTTATATTTATTTTTTCTCAAGAAGACACACTAGGGCTTATACCACAAATGCATAGAAATCCTGTTAGGGCTTATTTTTGGGGTAGGTCTTATTTTCGGGAAAACAGGGTAGTTGTGTACCTGTAAACCATGCTGATCACTACATCCGTCTCTGTGGTTTCTACATACGTCTAACCCACTACACAACAGATTCCATCTCATAGACTGGGAATTGGCTGTGAACTTACCTGCCTCAGGCCCCTTTTCCTTCCCAGCGGCTGCTGCAGAAGGAGATTGTGGTGTCCCGGTTCGCTCTGCACACTCGCTACCCTGTTAAGGATCAAGAGGATTGTCGTCACCACTACAGGAGAACATAAAACATGGAATGCTGTTTCTCTGCAAATACAGCTAAATACTAATGACACAGACACTTCAAAGACTCTTCCATCTTTGAAGGCTGGGGAAGAGCATCAGTGAGATTTGGGCCTAGGGGCAGATCGAGGACTCGGCACCAGTGTTCCCTCTAAGCTGAGTTAGTGTGAGCTGGCTCACAGTTTTTTAGCCTCCGGCTCACACATTTTTGTCTTAGCTCAGGAAGGAGGGCTCCAGTGCAAACTAATTTATGCAGTAGCCAAATCACCTGCTCACAACTTTAATGCCAGTCTCTCACCAAGTAGAATTTTTGCTAACAGGACTCCACAGCTTAGAGGGAACATTGCTCGGCACATCCTGGCAGCGTCCAGTGGTCAAAACTGAGCTCAGTTTTCAACTACGCAATGGGGCATACCGTTCCACTATGCCCGCTTTCCCCATCGATGGCAGAAAAGTCTAGAGAAGACTATCATAAAGTCGCTACTCTGGAGTCTTAGAACGTTTTTGTAGAGTTTAGGGGAAAGACGGGCGCCCGCCCTCCTAGCTTTAATAACTACTCCATAGTTTTGTGTACTTTCAGTTACATTTAGAACAAAGTGAATAATGAACACAGTTGACAAACGTTTAATTCACATCATGGGTATGAGACTTAATGGGGGGGGGGAGTTACCACACAGAACACATATTTTTAGCCTCAAATCTCTTAGTGGCTAGGTAATAAAATATGCATAAATCCTGGAGAAAGCATGCCTGCGTTTTTTTTTTTTTAATGGATTTTTAACAGATCCTCAATTTTTTAAAAATGGAATTAAGAAGGAGCATATTTCCACCATTAGACAGATGCAAGGATTCTGCTGCAGTACTCATTAGCTAACAGGTAATACTCAGATGGGCTATTTTTGAATTAGACAATGACTCACTCAGAATAAATTCAGCTTAATTCCATCCTAACCACACTACTCGCATTGCTGAGTATCTGGCATTAAGATTAATCCTGATCTTGGCACTACAGCTTTTAAATCCAAAATTAGATTCTTTGTCTCCCCTCGTTTTAGCAGATGCTCCTTGATTTCTCCTGCTGACTGTATAGAAACCAAAAGCACTTTCACACACACTAAATAACGCACTTTCAATCCGTTTTCCATGCACTTTGCAACTGGATTTTACTGTGTGAAATGGCAAAATCCACTTGTGAATGACAGCTCAGGTGCACTGAAAGTGCATTATTCGGCATGTGTGAAAGTGTGCTATGTCAAATAACAAAAACAAGATTAACGCCCGCCTCGACTAGGACCAGGGCCTTTTTAACCCCGGCCCCTACCTGGTGGAATGAGCTCCCATATGAGATCAGGGCCCTGCAGGACCTTATACAGTTCCACAGGGCCTGCGAGACGGAGCTCTTCCGCCAGGCTTTTACCTAGGGCTACGGACGTCCCTCCCTCTTTACTGGGCCTCCCCTCAACAGGTCAGAACTACATACCAGAGTTAGCATCTGTGAAGTTTTAATGCCAATGACAATGGCACCGGATGAGGGTTATTGTGGCATTTTACTAGTGTTTTAATTGTGTTAATTGTATATATTGTATTTTTATCAACTCTGATGTAACCCGCCCTGAGCCTGCCATGCGGGGAGGGTGGGATATAAGTCGAATAAAATAAATAATAAAATAAAAACACCTTGCAGTGCACCAGGTTGACAACGAACTGTAATGCCTGCGTAGTGACAGAAGGGAAATCCAGTGCTTTGAAATGAAGTCCTTTGATATTCCTTTCTTTGGTCTACTGGCCCTGGCCCACTGGCCGCTGTTTTCAGCAGCAGAATGGAAGATTTGCACAGCAACAGATAACAATGGGACAAAATTCCTAAGTAACCAACTGGCTTATCTTCCCCTTACAGATGCCAACTTTGCTGCCACATACACCCAAACAGCTCAATCACTGGACCTAACAACATCAACTACACCATCAGAGACTAATTCACTTGCTCATCTTCTAACATTGTCTATGCCTTAAATGTCAACAGTGCCCTTCAGTTCTCTACAGAGGACAAACAGGACAAACCCTACGCCAGAGGATAAATGGACACAAATCTGACATCAGGAATCACAATAAGGGTGCCAAGTCCCCCCGGGGGGCGGATTTCCCCCCGCTTTGGAGGCCTGATTTTCACCGCCACAGAATCGGGCCCCGGGGGAAACCCCACCCTGGCGTGCACGTCAGCCGGAGGTGACGTGATGATGCCGGGCATGCTGGGGGCGGGCCACAGCCATCTGAGGGGAAAACTCTATGTTTCCCCCTCAGATGGCTGTTGCCCCGCCCCCAGCATGCCCGGCGTCATCACGTCACCTCCGGCTGACGTGCATGCGGCACGCACGCGCGCTCAAGACACCGTCCGGGAGCCCCCTGCCACGGAAGAAAAAGAACTTGGCAACCCTAAATCACAAGATTAAGAAACCTGTAGGAAAACACTTCAGCCTTCCAGGACATTCAGTGGATGACCTCAAAGTAGCTGCTTTATTACAAAGGAACTACAGAAGCAGAATGCAAAGGGAAATTACTGAATTACAAGTTATTGCAACACTTGGAACAAAAACCTCCCCAGGACTCAACAGGGATATTAGTTTTTTTATCTCATTTACATACGCTAACTCATTCAGTCCTCACATATGTATTCTCAACAAGAAGGACTATAAATCCTCTGTATTTAAATGTATTTTAGTGTATTTATTTTTCAGAATAGTATATTAGAATATAGACCTTCACTTGTTATTTAGTGTCACTTTGCATATCTTGATCATCATCACGTTGCATGTTAATTTGCTGTTCATTCTCTGGCTATCAGTCTGAACCTTGCCTGCCATTCGAATGTATTTGGTGAAGTGTGCATGCACACGAAAGCTCATACCTTGAATACGTTGGAAAGGTGTGAGTTGCAAGGTCTAGATTCCAGTCATTATAGGGTTAATCTGTTCTACCTTCTGTGCTATTGTTTAGACTGACCTGGAAGGAGACCTGGCACAGAGTCAGTGTAAAGAAAGCCTGCGAAACTGAGTAACATTGATTGGGTAATGCAATCAGGTGATTTCCTTCTAGGGGTCAAGAAGAAAAAGAAGAAGAATCTCCATTGTTGTGTGACCATGTGTTCTGTGCTGTAAGGATCTAAAGATGTAGCTCTAGATATCTCTTTGTTATTTTGTAGTTTCCCAGTGAACCCTTCCCTTAGAAATAAAGATTTTTACACAGAAAGGAATGTCTCCTCTCCAGTGGAGCAAAGATCCATTGCAAACTCTGAGTATTTAAGTATTTTTGCCTATTTTTCCAACAGAATTAACCTTTGTTAGTCTTAAAGGTGCCAACTGGACTCTAAATTTGTTGTAGCGCAATCCTAAGAAGAGCTTCCCTCTTTTATACTCGATTTCTTCCATTTTTTTCTTTATTCATTTACTCGATGTGTACGCCACTTTTCTCCCCACCGGGTACCCAGGGTGGCTGACATCATTCTCCTCTCCTCCATTTTATCCTCACAGAAACCCTGTGAAATAGATTCGGCTGAGAGTGTGTAACTGGCCCAAGGTCACCCGGCAAGATTCTACGATGTGGGGATTTGAACCTGGTTCTCCCCGGATCCTAGTTCGACATTCTAATCTCTACACCGTCCTGGCTCTCTTAAAAGGGCATAACTCCATGGCTAATTTTAAAGGCTTCATCTGCAGATGCGTGGGAATCGACAGCACCATTTGGGGATGCAGCTGCAATCCAGGCACTATTTCTTCACGACCATGACGCTGTCCTTTACTAGATATCCCTGACTGGAGCCGCATTCGGCCTTGTCCCTCTACTTTGGCGGGGGACACCCCCTTCCTCCAAGTCTTAAGGATAATTTGCACTATGACAAACGTTTTGCATGGCAGATTCACAAAGAAAGTTTGCCAGATAACCTCTTGGGTAATAATACTTTACATACAAAAGTGCTGTGAAGTCAGAACCAACGTGTGGTGACCCCAGTAAGGGGCTTTGAAGGCGCGTGAGAGGCAGAGGAGGTTGGTCATCGCCTTCCTCTGCATAGCCTTCCTTGGTGATCTCCCATTCAAGCACCGACCCTCTACCAAGATCTGATGATATCAGGGTACACCATCCTGCCTTCCCTCCCAAATAATACTTTGGTTGTGGAAAAGGCTGTCAAGTCACACCCAATTTATGGTGACCCCGTAGGGCAGGGGTGTCAAACATAAGGCCGGGGTGGTGGTGGAACTGGCCCATCCAGGGCTCTTATGCAGCCTGTGAGCAACCAGTGCAGGTGAGGGAACAGGAGACTGCTCAGGAGGAAGTGGGCGGAGCCACTCTGATTGTGGCTTCCGCATGGCGGAACAACCTTGTCTGCAGCAGTCAAGCAGGGTGGGATAGTCTGCCCAGTGCTGCACTGCTGGCTCTCCAGTCCGCCCAGGTGGGTTTTCCTTTGCACCACCCCTCCCAGCCCCTGGGGCCTCGCAGTGAGGATACAACAGCTCGGAGCTTACCAGCTCCTGCCATTTGTACAGTTTATATCTCCAGTACCTGGCATTACATTTTATGGCACACATGGCCCGGCCCAACAAAGTGACATTTATGTCAGATCCGGCCCTCGTAATGAATGAGTTTGACACCTCAGCCGTACGGTTTCAAGGCAAGAGACATTCAGAGGTGCTTCACCACTGCCTGCCTCTGTGTAGAGACCCTGGACTTCCTTGTTGGTCTCCTATCCGAATACTGACCAGGCTCGACCCTGCTTAGTAGCCATGATCTGATGAGATCAGGCTAGCCTGAGCCATCTAGGTCGGGGCAATGATAGTTTAGAAAGGGGCCAAAGAGATTAGTATACAAAGGAGATTTCTGTCAGAAGACACAGGGTGGCAATTTTACACAGTGTAGTACAGCCCGTGAAAGTCTACTGAAAATCTTACTTGGGTCTATCCAATGGG